CCCCCGCGAGGCCGAGCCCCGCCGAGTCGCGCCGCGCTGCCTCCCTGCGACGCGGGCCTTCGGGAGGCGCCGGGCCCGCAGGCCGCGGGAGGCAAGCCCGCGAGAAGGAGCGCGAGAAAGAGCGACAGCCACCGAGAGTGATCGAGATGAGACGGTTAGTCGGGGGCTCCGGAAGCCACCGTGCCTGGACCGTACCTGGCTCCAGGTGATGAACTCATTGGTGTGGGTCTCCTCCACCAGGGTCCACAGCTTGCTGAGGAAGGCCGGCACATTCGAACTCTGCTTCATTGTTAGTGAGGCGCAGGGATTCCAAATTCTACACCCGAACAAGGTGGTGGCAGCAGCAGCGGCGGCGGCAGCAACGGCGGCGGCAGCTGCTCACAGAAAATGTCCACAACGCAGGCGCAGCAGCTCTCGGGGCCCGCCCCCTCCAGCCCCTCCAGGCGCGCAGCGAGCCGGGGAGGCCGGGCCGCTGCACGTGACGGACAAGGCTGCTCGCTGGGCTCGGGCGCCCTGCTCCCGCGCCCGTCCCTTTTCTGACCAATCCTAGGTGTCGACCTCTTGGACAAAGAAAGGCGATTGGATGCCGCAGACGCAAGGGGGTGGGTGCATAATAAACTCTGCCATCCCATTCGCTTTTTATGCAGGGCCTCGGTATAGTGGCCTTGGGTGCAGTGTTTGGTTTCTTCACGTGGGAGCTGCTTTAGGATCCTAAGTTAGTTTAGGCTGTAAAAATACCCGCAGTGAACTTTCAACTCTAAGGGCTAAGTGTGATTAATACCAAGATAAGAATATAAAAATTTACATGGAAGTGAAAAAAAGAAAAGACGTGACTTTAAATTCTGCTCTGCTAGGCCCTGGGGCTTGAGACAGTCTTTAGTTTTCCATTAGGAGTAAATGCTTAATAAATATGCTTATAAAAAAAGGAATTTTAATAACTCTATTTATTCTTATCTTATTTCAAGGCATGCTGTTAGGCGAGGCCCTTCCTTGGCAAAAGACAGCATACTTGGAGAGTCAGCAAAAGAGAAGACCCTCAACAAAATGACAATGGGCTCAAGTATATCAAGAGATAGTGAGGGTGGTACATGGGAAAGGTTCAAATCCATTGTTCATAGGGTCTCTACAAGTCGTGTGCACCTAATAACAATATAGTCTCATTCAAACTCAAACTCATTGCCATCTAGAACTAATTCATAGTTGGCCCTTCAGTGAGTTTTCTGAGACTGCAAATGACACTGGAAGAGGTTGCCCAGTTTTCTCCCTCAGAGCCACTAAGGGATTAAAACTGCCGGAGGGGTGCTGCCTTTGGGTTAGCAAACTCTCTAGGGGCTGCTTCACTGGGCACCCTATGTACACTTTCAGCCTGTAGTTGTTTCAGCATGCCGAGGGAGGTCTGGTGGGTAGGGACTTGCACTGCCAACCTAAACGCAGAAGGTTCGAATCTACTAGCTATTCCGTGGGAGAAAGATGGCAGTCCATTCTTGAGATTTACATCCTCTAAAAACCACTGAAGGGTTAGCTAGGAGTTTGTTCTGACTCACTGGCAATGGCATTTTTTTAGTTTGGTTTATGTGATTTTGTGTAACTTAGTGCAGTTTGTTAGTCGGTATTCATTCTATTTGGTATTAACAGATAGTCCCTGTATGCATATGGGTAGTAGTATTCTGTCACTCACATTGTACTTCAGGATGAATCTAGAAATGGTCTTTTTGTCTATGAATGCAACTCCATTATTCTTCACATTTTAATTACCGGCACGGGAGAGCATGTGATAGATAGTCTGATTCAAAGTGGCAATGCCAGTCCATCTCAGCTCACTGATGCCTAGTATGTCAATCTTTATGCGTTCCATTTCTTTGTTAACAATGTCAAATTTTCCTACATTTCATACTTTGTATGTCCCATATACCAATTATTAATGGATGTTTGCAACTATTCCTCCAGTGCTAAGCTACCACTGCTATATCAAAAGCCTTAGTATGCTCTATGTTCCTATGGTTTTTCAACACCTGTTATTTAAGAAGTTTCAAGATTCATTAATAATAATTGTTGACTGGAATTCAAAAGTTGGAAACACACTGAAACAGAGGAGGGAGAGAACCGTCTAAAAGAGAGATGTAACTGGGTATTTCTGTCATCACAGGAGACTAGAGCGAGGGCTGCATGGTGGAGGGGACCT